TACATTACCTTCACTGTTGACCTCTGTGCATTATATTTTCTCTAATGACCTCTGCATGCTGTACATTACTTTTACATCTTACACCTTCACTTCGTACATTACTTTTACAAATGACCCCTGTACTTAGTACATTACTTTTACTACTGACCCCCATGCCTCTGTACAATACACACTCCTGACCACTGCACTCTGTTCGTGGGTATGACAGCTGGGCATGCACGTTAAGTGCACACATCACAGAGAAGGAGGCTGCAGTTTTGGATCTGTACCCTGGGCACTGAATGACTTTGTCATGGTACTGCCTGAAATACCTTATAAATACTGCATCATGCTTATGAACGGTACAAGAAAAGCTCCATCTGTATACTATGGGTCAGGTCCCCTCCACCACCACCACTGTTTCAGAATTTTTAGCCAAGACATGCTGAAATTGAGGCTGGCCAATCTTCTTGTAAACTACATGAATTTTGCCAACATCATAGGAAAAACAAAAAGAAAAAGGTAACATGAAGAGATCCTGTTCTTTTTTTTCACAAATTATATAATAGATTCACTGCTTAGTAAGGATTTGCCTGTTTACCTTTTTTGCCTTCTGCTGTTTTATTTTGGATTTTGTAGAGTGTCTCCAGAATAAATGTGCTTATTTTGGTTCGTAATGTACAAGCATTCTGCAGTAGCATTTAGCAGAATGATTTGAACCTCACCAATTTGTACTAATGGTTCATTGGTTATGTGATATGCCAGGTATGTCAGACATGCTGTCTATCATACAGGCTGGTAATTAGAGTTAAGCTTTATCTCATCTTAATTAAACAAATGATACAAAAATTAAACAAAATTCCAAACGCTGCAATTTGTGGCAGCTGTGCTTCAACAATCAAAAATTGACTTTTAATTGTAGACTACAAAATATAGTGGATAATTTTATTACTTATCAAAAACGAAATTCAAATAGAGACTATAATATCTGTATACATTTTCCTGCCATGCAGGTACAGATATACTGTCATGCAATATATATTATAACACAGGGCTTGAAAAAGCATATAATACAAGAAAAGTATTCAAATCCTATATCCCAATTAAACAGCCATATGTAATTAATAAAATGTATGACTTTTTATATTGAAGCCTTCCATGATGTGGACTACATATTACTAATATAATATACTGTATATTATACAGACACACGTAATGAACCTGTATACTATTATTGTTGTTGTCATTATTTTTTCCATCACTCTCTACTATTGGATTTTCAAATCTATAGTCACACAATTTACGTAAATTACCCATTTTCAAGGATACTGTAAGTGCACCACGAATTTCACCCTATGCTACGACTTTATCTATAATATGATCTTGTACAGGAGATGATTCCATCTCCTGGTGTTTCAGTATGCTTTGGCACATGCATTGTTGGTTCCTCTGGGGTCTCGGTGTCAGGGAGAGGGGGGGTCTGGTCCGGGGTCCATGTGTGCTGCTATAGCTAGTAGTGGAAAATGTTGAATAGCACTTTGGACCATCTCTGACATATGGTTACAGAGAAGCAGAATGGTTAGAAGCAGAATTAGAGTACAGTTGAAGGTGTGCTTATCCTTTAAAAGTCAGCTGACAACTTTGCCTAACCACAAATAAAAAGACAACATTATCATGATCATCTTGGCAAATGACACAATTGGACCAAAGTACAATGTGTGAGCTTTGAATAAACTGAAATCTGATTGGTTTCTAGGGTTAGATTTTTTTTGTACCACTAAAGAAAAATGACTACACAGAAAAAAATCAAACTGCAACATTCCTTGGTGGCTTCCTCTTCTGGAATTGTTGCTGCAGGCACCTGTGAGTTATGCACAATAAATAAAACAGTGCATCCCTTGATTCCCTGGAGATGGGAATCCCCTTTACTCACTAGATCAGGGGTCTCAAACTGGCAGCCCTCCAGCTGTTGCAAAACTACAAGTCCCATCACGCCTCTACCTTTGGGAGTCATGCTTGTAACTTTCAATCTTGCAATGCCTCATGGGACTTGTAGTTTGGTAACAGCTGGAGGGCCGCCAGTTTGACACCTGTGAACTAGATTATGCTGTGCATATAGCAAGTATATGATCTGCAGAACTAATTGAAAAAAAAAAACACATCCTAGGGATGCCTGCATTCAGCACACTGCTTGCCCTTATTTCTGTTGGGAGCTGCAGTGACTCAATGATCTAGGGAAGCTCATCTGCATACACTTACGGGACTTAAAAAGGGACTTCCCTTGATCCCTTCAGAAAGTCCGGAAGTGAGAAACGCGTTTTTCGTGACGCGCACGCAGACCGGAAGTGTCGCCGCGGCCATTTTGTTTATCAAACATGGCAGATTGCATTTTTTTGGAACTCATAGGAGAAACATGTTGGAACCTAGGTGATCCAAGTGGAAGTTTGCTTTACCGACCTTGAATATGAGCCTGAGACCCTTCCTGTCTTTTGAGGACCTTGGAATAATTTCTTTGAAGCGAATTAGAAGATCTCATTGGATGCTGGTATATGGATACAGAGGGTAATAGTATCTGGGACCATTTACTATTGGTGTTGGTGGATACACAGCGTGCAGTTCACAGAGTGGTCCAGCTAACTCATATGCGCACGGAGGAGGATATATATATGTTTGTGCAAGTTTTATGGTTTTGTGTTTTTGCACGGAGTGATATATCATTTTAAAGGTAATGCACTAGATTTTTCAAATGGAGGCGGGATGAAATGGAATTTCTTCCTATTGGAAATAAAGTTTGAACATTGGATAATTTGTTGACACTAATCTGTTGGACACTATTTTTATTTGTAGGTTTATATTAGGACATTTTTTTGGGACACTTTTATTGGAAATTTTTGTTTTTTTTTTAAGAATTTTTTGAATTTTATATTTATTTTAGGGGTGGGTTTATGCTCCTCTTTAAAAAGACTATAAACAGGTACAAAAAATGACTACTGTATATTTTAAATAAATTACAATATGATCATGCAAATGTATATATTGCCTGTTTTGCTGGATTTTAAAGCCAACCCAGATGGTTAGGAGTTAGGCCATGTCACATGATCTTCAGTTTGTATAAGAGCAGTGTGAATTCCAAACTTTTTCAAAGCACTTTTGAAGTTTTCCACAAACTTTGAACTGCTTTTTCCAAGTTTTTAAAGCACCCTTCACTTCCAGTTTGGGAATTTAAAACTTGAAACAAGCTCCTTGCAGGCTTCAGAAGTCATTCAACAAGCTTCACCTTGTTCTGAAGCCTACCGAAGCCTGCTAGAAGCTTGTTTAAAGTGACAGTCAGCAATCCTGTTAAGATCTGTGTACAACATTTCAAACTGGGGTTGAAGGGTGCTTTAAAATTATCACCAGGGATGAAATATGTATAGAGGTTTAATGGTACACAATAGTGTTCTGTTTACATAACGTTGACACCATATTCTTTCCTCATACCAATTGTATGGCTAAGTCAGCTTCTTTCCTTCTCTGTTCATTTATCTTTATCACCGTTTGTTATATATTATACTGTAATATTCCCTAAAGGGGTTGTAAAGACTAAATTAACAAATATGTTACACTTACCAGCCCTGTGCAATAGTATTGTACAGAGTTGCCCTGAACCTCCTCTTCTGGGGTTCCCCACCCTTGCTCTTGGCTCCTCCTTTTCTGTGTGTGCCATCATAACAAGCCACTTGCTATGGTGGCCCACCTGTGGGTTTGCTCCTGAACTGGGCTATGTGTGTCCATAGACACATACAGTTGGCTCGGCTGTGTCCCCAGCTTCCCCCTCACAGGTTTTGACTGACAATCAATGGCTCCTGCTGCTGCCTCTGTATCCTGGGAGGAGAGGAACAGAGACCAGTACTGCTGTTGTCAGGGATCCAGGTATGACCAGAAATGTGTGGGAACACAGGTGTGGTCAGGGCTGGAGAGGTGGAATGGTCAGGCAGGCCGTATGGGTCTGTAATGCACCGTCTGGCGGTACCTCTAGCAACCCACGGAATAGGATTCCCCAGAGTGCGGAGTCTAAGTCCCAGTCTGCTTGTTCACCAGGGCCCCTGATGGTGGGGATGGACTTGGAGCAGACAGAGACCAGGTCGCAGCCCCTGAGTACACCCACCTGTGGTAGAGGGATCCACCAGAGGTATATTCTGGAGGAGAGCCTGACGTGAAGAGGCAGATGGGTCCGTGCAGGACGGATGGATGGCTGAGCAGAAGCGTAGTCAGACAGGCCGGGTCGGTAACGGTGGGGACAGCGCGGTACAAGGCAGCAGGCACAGAATAGTCGGGTCACTCGCCAGGTCAGTAACAGGAGATCAGATCCAATGAGGGTATCCAAGAGAAGTCAGACAGGCCAGGAATCAGGACAGGAGAAGTCAGCAGAGGTCAGGATCAAAGCAGGGTCAGCAACAAGTCAGATAGGCAGATATGCAGGAACACAGGATACCAGGTACAGGGGCTCATGGGAAAAAAAACACCAAGGCACTGACTGCAGGCCTGGCCATTGCTTAAATACACCTCCTGCAATCAGCCTCAGGTGATGGCTTGATTGCAGGAGTGAGATTCTGGCTGCTGAGAGCACCCGCTGGCCAGCACTGGTACTGGAGCCCACAAGGCAGGTGAGCCCCAGCACCACCTGTGCTGAGCCCATTCTTGACAGTACCCCCCCTCAAGGAGCGGCCTCAGGACACTCAAAACAGTCCGTAATGGCCCCAATGTTCCACCGCCTGGGTCCTGTAACTGGCTGGACATCCCACTGCCGGAATCAAGTGACTGTCTGGGTCTCCTGCTGATAGGCCTATCTTTTTGCAGGAGACCGCAGGAAGGCAATTTGCTGGACACAGGATTTCCAGAAGCAGGCTGGGCATCAGGAGCTGGCACGTGAGGTTGGGTAGTGGACAGAGGCATGTCAGGCTGGGCAGCGGACAGAGGCACGTCAGGCTGGGCAGCGGATAGAGGCACATCAGGCTGGGCAGCGGACAGAGGCACGTCAGGCTGGGCAGCGGACAGAGGCACGTCAGGCTGGGCAGCGGACAGAGGCACGTCAGGCTGGGCAGCGGACAGAGGCACGTCAGGCTGGGCAGCGGACAGAGGCACGTCAGGCTGGGCAGCGGACAGAGGCACGTCAGGCTGGGCAGCGGACAGAGGCACGTCAGGCTGGGCAGCGGACAGAGGCACGTCAGGCTGGGCATCAGGCAGGGCAGCGGGCACCGGGCCATCAGGCGGAGCAGCGGGTACCGGGCCATTAGGTATTGCAGCGGGCACCGGGGCATCAGGCGAGGCAGCGGGCACCGGGGCATCAGGCGAGGCAGCGGGCACCGAGGCATCAGGCACGACAGCGGGCACCGAGTCACCTGGCACGACAGCGGGCACCGAGTCATCTGGCATGACAGCGGGCCCCGAGTCATCTGGCAGAACAGTGGGCATCGGGTCACCAAGCTCGACAGCGGCCACCGAGTCATCTGGCACGACAGCGGGCACCAAGTCATCTGGCAGAATAGCGGGCCCCGGGTCATCTGGCAGATCAGCGGGCTCCAGGTCACCAAGCTCGACAGCGGGCACCGAGTCATCTGGCACGACAGCGGGCACCGAGTCACCTGGCACGACAGTGGGCACCGAGTCACCTGGCACGACAGCGGGCACCGAGTCATCTGGCAGAACAGCGGGCACCGGGTCACCAAGCTTGACAGCGGGCACCGAGTCATCTGGCACGACAGCGGGCACTGAGCCATCTGCACAACAGCGGGCACCGAGTCATCTGGCAGAACAGCGGGCACAGAGTCATCAGGCAGGACAGACAAGACAGCGGGCACCAGGTCATCAGACAGGACAGTGGGCACCGGGTCAGATAGGACAGCGGGCACCGGGTCATCAGACAGGAGCGGCCACTGGGTCATCTGGCTCGACAGCGGGTATCAGGTCATCTGGCTCGACAGCAGGCACCGGAGCGCCAGGCTGGACCACGGGCACCAGGGCGCCAGGCTGGACCATGGGCACCGGGCATCAAGCTGGACTACGGACACCGGGGCATCAGGCTGGATCAGGTCATCAGGCTAGATCGGGTCATCAGGCTGGATTGGGGCATCAGGGCATTAGGCTGAACAGCGGGCACCGGGGCAACAGGCTGGACAATGGAAGGTGGGTTCTCAGACAGCAGGATGACCGGTTTGGATACTGGCAGGATGGTACTGGTTGGAAAGAATCTCTGCTTCTTCTTGGGTTTAGTTACTGAAGCACTGCAAGTAAATGCAGGGCTGTAAACGGAGGGAGCAGCTAAAGACAGAGAAGAGCTGGAGGATGGAACAGAGAAGGGAGAAGTTTCTACAGAGGACTTTTTTACAGGGTTAAAGGCAGGATAGGTGCAGCGAGTGGGAACAGGGTACTGACATGTGGTAGATAGCAGGGTATATTGGGCTGTAACTGGCGGTGCTGTGGGAAATGGAGGAAGAGAGCTTTGAGCAGAGGAATGATTAGAAGCAGGACTGGGTTGTTGCAAGCTGACTGAGGCTGGGTGTAACAAATCTGTCATGTCTGCAGTATGGGTTGAACAAAGCTCAGCTTACACAAAGCCTGTCTGACCAAAGACTGCACTGCGTTTATACACTCCACTAGCACATGTGGTGAACATGCTGAATAATGCTCCAAGAAGCAATCCGGATCATCCTCCAACAACCATACCAGTGATTCTACTTGATCCGTACTGAATGGTCGAAAAAAGTCATTCCCGCTTTCAGGGGTACTAGATGAAGCCAACTCAGCACAAGCCTGAATCAATGGTTGCACCTCAGAGAACTCCGTGCCCTGATCTACTAGGGAATGAGCGACCTGTATGCACTCTAGCAGCTGATCCCTGGCATACTCCTTCAGAGTCTGATAGGCATATTCTCTGTCATCTAAGACTAGCAGATACAAGTACACAACCTCATCAGGATGCATCCTTCGCAACAACAAGCCAAGATGGCTTCCCTGTGCAGCCACTTCTGGTCAGGACAGGCCTTGGTGTAATGTCAGGCATCCGGGTATGACCAGAAATGTGTGGGAACACAGGTGTGGTCAGGGCTGGAGATGTGGAATGGTCAGGCAGGCCATATGGGTCTGTAATGCACCATCTCGCGGTAGCTCTAGCAACCAACAGAATAGGATTCCCCAAAATGCGGAATCTGAGTCCCAGTCTGCTTGTTCACCAGGGCCCCTGATGGTGGGGATGGACTTGGAGCAGACAGAGACCAGGTCGCGGCCCCTGAGTACACCCACCCGTGGTAGAGGAATCCGCCAGAGGTATATTCTGGAGGAGAGCCTGACGTGAAGAGGCGGATGGGTCCGTGCAGGACGGACGGATGAATGGATGGCTGAGCAGAAGTGTAATCAGACAGGCCGGGTCGGTAACGGTGGGGACGGTGCGGTAGAAGGCAGCAGGCACAGAATAGTCGGGTCACTCGCCAGGTCAGTAACAGGAGATCAGATCCAATGAGGGTATCCAAGAGAAGTCAGACAGGCCAGAGATCAGGGCAGGAGAAGTCAGCAGAGGTCAGGATCAAAGCAGGGTCAGCAACAAATCAGATAGGCAGATATGCAGGAACACAGGATACCAGATACAGGGGCTCATGGGAAAAAAAAAACACCAAGGCACTGACTGCAGGTCTGGCCATTGCTTAAATACACCTCCTGCAATCAGCCTCAGGTGATGGCTTGATTGCAGGAGTGAGATTCTGGCTGCTGAGAGCACCCGCTGGCCAGCATTGGTACTGCAGCCCACAAGGCAGGTGAGCCCCAGCACCACCTGTGCTGAGCCCATTCCTGACAGCTGTAGACAGGCACAGCGCTGGATCAAGATATGACTCAGGTATGTATTTATGTGTTGAGGAAGGGGGGAATGATATCACTACTGGGCCATTGTTTACCTAATGCAGGGAATGTCATGCCTGTAGGCCAGGTTCACATATGTGCAGCTGTTCGGCCGCGATTTGCGTGTACACGAGAGCCCATTCATTTGAACTTGGTTCTCCCGCAGTGCATAGCACCCCAAGGTGAACCCCTGGGCACAGTGGCTCTGTTCCCTGGTCAGGCAAGCCCGTGGCAGAAGTGGGTTGCGTCAGGAGGGAAATTGCAGTTCCCTCCCATGCAACCACCTGAGGGGGGAGGTGTAACAAGCGTACACACAGTGAAGGACGTAGCCCTCCATTTTGTTAAGAAATCTCCATTTTGTCCCATCATTCTCCCCCTTGCTCTCTGAAAGCCACAGTGACATCTGGTTGGTGTGGGTGTTGGAAGTGTTGCAGGCAGGCCCGAGCACAGCAGGGAGCCCTGAAGTGCCTGGAGAGCTGTGCAATCTAACACCTCGTAAAAGATAACACAAGTCTTCTCAGGAGTTCAAAGACATTCCAAGGAAGCACGAACCAGATAACACTTTTAAAATCAATTTTTCCCCTATGTCTCATATCTTGGAATATGAGAGACTTACATAAAAACCAGACATATCTTCAAATTGGCCACGAGGAGACAAACAGTTTGATAGGTCACTCTCCTTGGCTAGAATACATAGGGAAGCAGAAAAGTAGATCTTTTGAACCATTCAGTGTATAATTTCATATTTCATATCTAATCATTCCTCAGATGTGTCTGCATAATAATCTACCTGCGGGTGGAATTTCACTTGTGCATATGGAAAGTTATGAGCCAAAATATGAACTATAAGAGATTTTGGCTCTAGTTTAGGCCTACGACCAGACGATCCCTCCCTAAACGGGGTATTGGTCCTTGACTTCAGAGACACCCCCTACTGGGGAACTACAAAATGGGTTGTCAGGCCTAAGAGAGTAAAGTTGAAGAATTCTCCCTTTTAGCATCAGAACCACCTGGGAGACCCGTACCCTTTCGCTCTGAAACTTGATCTGCTAACCCAGGACTTTGGCAAGTACTTTAACCCTCTAACTTCTCTCTGTTATCTCTTTGCTGTGCTGTTATTCTCTCTGTATATTTATATATATATTGGTTACATCTTTTTTCTGTAAATATTTTTATTGCACCCCTTTGACCTTTTAGTAATAAATCTTTCCTTCTGAAAGTGTTGAACTGTTTCTATAGCTCTTTATTGCAATTTATGAATTCCTGCCTCTAAAAAGAGTGCTACTGTGTTTGTTTAACCCTCTGTATAACTGGCCTGCGGTGACCATGTTATACAGATGATTATCTCAACCATTATAGTGTTATAGCTGATATCGCAGAGTTTCCTCTTTCTCTGTACAAAAAGGAGGTGGTGGCAGTGTGAAGGGTTAGTTGCGTAATTAACCTGACCCAGTAACAATCGCTCCCAGGCTGCCAGTACATAGATTGTGGTCCAATTAGCTGGAAAATCATTGTGCAGGCTGCAGCAGGGCGTGGCATTGTTACGCACGTGACATCGCGGTTTTAGATTGACCAGTCCTTCGGTCACGAGTTTGGTGAGAAGAACAGGGGTCTGACGCCGCGTTCGTCACATATTGGTGGCAGCGATCATGGGATCGTCACACCCTCCTAGATCAATCTTCAGCCAGCCACAGTTGTATAAAATTCCTGAAGAGTTTGAATTTAGCCTTTTAACATTACTTTCCTGTAGTCATCTTTCTAAGGAATGCTAGTTATAGATGATCTACTTCGATCGACTTCTGTTGAACATGGACAGCCGCCACACATGGATCATAATTTGATTGATACCTGCTGAACCAGCCACATTTTGATCTGTCTTTGGCCAGCTGAAGAAACAGCAACAGTTTGTGTAGAAAACACCCCAAAATCAAATTTCCTGCTTAATAGGATTGGCTTAGCTCTTTTGCCATAAAATGGCACAGAACTTGATGTAACATTTCAGGTATCCTCAGCAACAGCCATATAATAACTGCGGTGAACCTTTGTTCATTGGAAATTATTTGATCATGCATCTGCAGTGGTGCCTAGAGATGTAAAATCTCAGGACTGATATTGATTATGACTTTGCCCTCTCAGATGGGCTTATCTCAGTATCTTCTGAACAGAGGAAGTAAGAATCTGCAGTGAAGTTTATTGCAATGTTTATTATTTTCAACAAATTTTCACAAAAACATATGTTTGAAAGACGGCATAGAATTTTATTGAAAGCAGTGATCAACAAATAATCCAGTCCTCCAAATTTTCTTTTCCAGTAAAATTTCCTCTCTGCTATAGATTAGTGGTGACATAGCAATGTTTCTCATATGGAATTTATCCAGTCTTCCTAAAATTAATTTCACACATAAAATGGGTAAACAACTAGACCGAAGTGGGGTGGCTTTGCTGAGTCTGCATTTGTGACCATAGCTGGATAGTATAACAAGAGCTCCCATATTTAATGGGATGCTGTCAGCGGACATGCATGCAACCTTGCGGTTTGTATGTTGTTCTGGCCAGAGTCTATAGAGAAAATCTTTGCTGCCAACCCCTCATGCTGCATTCCTCTTACATGAGAACAGTTATGAAATAGGAGCCTTTCTGCTTACTTGTGTGAGGGGAACTAGTGTTTCCAGCATCCAAAGTCTAACTCATTTATCAAACAGTATAGTTCTGGA